ATGAATCGCTGCAATTTCCAGAAACTGTTACTCCTATTGTGTTGAGCTTTTAACTGGTCAAATGAGGTCCAAATGCTCTCAAACCACCTCCATTTCAAAGATGTGTTTACTCAAAAATTGGTTTTGAAACCATATCAAAATTCCATATAGGTTGGAAGTTACACATCTGTTTATGGAGACATGTTACTGTAAGAATTGCAGAAATTTCAGAACTGTAGTCAGCCCCTTTTGCACTAAACTCATGATTGATCAAATGATGCTCAAATAGCTTCCAATTTCCTTTGATTAAAGGATATATAGATCTATTTCACGTTGATGTTTAAATTGAGTTGAAATTTCTTATGAATTGGATACTATACCTCCATTCGCATATGTATATCACCGATGGGAATGACAGTGAATCCCAAACTGTTGTATGATTCATAAAAAGTTGTGCACCGATTCATATGTTTCTGAATAAAACTTAAACCCCTTCATAAAGAAACTGAAATTATCTGTCATAAAGAACTGAATATGCATGTTTATGATACTATGAATGCGCCTAAATTCTTGAATAGCAAAGCATGAGTGAATGAATGCTTGAGCATGCATGTATACATTTGTGATTAGATGTGTTATGATATGACTATGATACTGTTACGATATGATTGTGATACTGACCACTGTGCAATGGGACATCCCTTGGTAGTGGGATACTGTTATGATATGACTGTGATACTGACCACTATGCAATAGGACATCCATTGGTAGTGGGATACTATTATGATATGACTGTGATACTGACCACTACGCAATGGGACATCCATTCGATAGTAGGATACTGTTATGATATGACTGTTATACTGACCACTATGCAATGGGACACCCATTGGTTAGGGGATACTGTTATGATAAGAAAGTTATGCTGGCAATTATGATCTTACCCCAACCCCAATGATAGGAATGGGGCCAGGATGTGAATGTGAATAACAGAGAGGGTCGCGCCCCCTGAATCTATAAGGGCACTGATATCTGAATTATACTTTTTCTTACAGTGCTAATGTTTGGTGATGCATGACTCCACATTGTGACTACTGTATAAATTTGGGTGGCGAGGTTGGAAATGTCTATAAATGCCATTATATATAGGCTGGAATGCAATGGTGCTGATCTACTTGCTGGGCTTTTAGCTCATCCCTTTTATTTTCATTTATGTAGAGTGATAACCTCAGACTCTTGAGAGCGAGCAACTGGACATTTGTGGCAGGCGATTAAGGCTCGGTGCATGGAAAAGGAACTTCTTAATAGTAAGTGTTTGGTGGTTGTGCCACAAAGTTGTTTTGATGAAGTGTTGTAATCTTGTTGTCAGGCCTGTAGTGCCTTGAACATAATTGTAAAGAATTTTTGGAGAATGTATAAATATAAAATGGTTTTATGGTTTTATTCTGTTCAGTTTTGTGTGGAGCATGGTGAATGAGTTTTATTTTCTTTCGTGGTTTGTTGGGATTCGGCATTTCTAAACGTGTTGAGCCACTCCCACCTGAGTGGCGTTCGCCACCTCCGGTCGCGATCCTGCAGTCTGGCGCCGTCCGGCATGTACGGTAAGGGTCAAGGGGCAGCGTCGTGATATTGCCCCTTGTAAAAATGTTCCTGAAGCTATCAAAGAGGAGTAATCAATCTATAAGTTATGTAAAACAAAAACAAGAACAAAATCCTTGTCATAGATCTATTTCTATTTCTGCTACTTCTAGAAGAAGTGATCTGGGTTTGAAGTATGGGTACAACCCAAAACCAAATGATAAAAATTATATAAGGTGTAATTTTTGTGAAAAAGATACCAATGGCGGTATTAGCTGATTCAAAAACAACCTTACTGGTGTTAGAGGTAATGTTGCTTCTTGTACAAAGGTTCCTGAAGCAGTTCGGGATGAGATTAGACATTTTCTGAATTTTGAAGAACCAGAAAAGGATGGAAATAAGCCTTGTTCTATGCAAGTATCTTCTCTAGGTTCTAGTCGGAGTGGTGATCCGGGTTGGAAGTATAGCTATAAGACGAATCCAAGTGATAAAAATCGTATTAAATGTAATTATTGTGGAAAGAATACTAATGGGGGCATTTATCGGTTTAAAAAACACCTTGCGGGTATTAAGGGGCATGTTGCCCCGTATAAAAATGTTCCTGAGGCTACCAAGGAGGAAATTATACAATATTTGAGTTCAGAGAAGAACAAAGAAAAAAGTAGAGCAGCCAAAACTCCTACGACCTCATCTGCACATAATGCACATACTAGTAAGAGGAAGGTAGAAGAAGAGAAGGAGGAAGAGGCAAATTCAGAAGAAACAGAGGAGGACAACCATTATATTGAAGAGGGAGATGACTCTGATGATGATGGCCTCCACTCTGATGTATATGATGAGGTTTGCCCTATTGATATTCCCTCTGATGATGATGATGACGACAACTGAAGACTCTTGCCTCTTGGTGCTGAGTGTTGAGTGTTGAGTCTGTTAACTGTTGTGTTGAGTCATGAGTGTTGACTTTTGTTAGACTGTATATTTTCTAAATTTCTGTATATTTTTGTTGTGTTCAGTGTTGACTTTTATATCCTACACTTGTATGGTTTTACTTTTACAGTTTACTATTTTAACAATATGGATTATCAAAATTCTCTTCTCGACGTCTGATTTTTTTTTTTCAACTTGGAATATGGTATATTAGTAATTTGGTATGTTTTATACTTTTTCTGAAATAGGCAGCCACCCAAGTTCTGAGCGCTCGCCTAAGCACTGGGCGGCCTAGGCCCCTCAGGCCGCCTAGGACCCTCCTAGCGCTTTTTGATACACTGATCCAGACTGACCCAATTCCTTGTTGGTACCGCTAACCAGTCTTCTCTTTGGACTTGCCTGGTTCTGTCAGGGAACGGGGCAAGTTTGTCAAGGTTTGGATTGATGGCTCAACACACTATTTTTTATTTTTTTCATTTTTACTTTTTCCAGTTTTTCTTTTATTTTTTATGGACCAAATCACACTATGGAAAATCAGTCCAGTTTGCTTACTAGAGGCAATTTGCCAATTCGAACAAGATTTCAAGAAGTCACTTAGTTGCTCCAGGTTTTCAGACACTCGGGTGTGTGTGGACAAACTTGGTGGCAGCAATGGACCTGATCAAGGGAGAGATGGACTTAGCAAGGGGCTCTGTCCATTACAAGTAGGGTGTAAGACGAGTATCCGATGAGGACGTCAAAGTTATGGTGGGGGTGGCATGACAGACCCCTTTACTTAGTGCCAGGTTTGCAGGCTAAATAGGTCAAGAAGAACCCCTTAACAACAGAATATTTTGTAGAGGACCCACAAATCTTCTACGAACCTGTGCTACTTGGGACTGTTTAGATATCTCTCCTTGGGGGTCAGTTCATTCAACCGACAAACCTAAATGAGGAAGTGTACCTTTAACTTTGACAGCCCTTGGTGCAAAAATATGGCTATAGTTGGTGGGACTCGGTGAACCACAAAGACCAAGAAGTTAATGCTTAGTTGGTTAAACAAATGCACAACAACCTGATGGAATATGGGCATGGACCATGTTGAAAATGCGGCTGACAACACACCCGGCTGGGTAGGATGTGTTGACCTTAATGCTCAGGTGAGGGATTCAAATTTGAAATGTGTAATTGCCTGAGGAATCAGCTAGTGCAACAGCCATGATGGGTCATGTGAAAGTGAGTGAGTGCACATGTAGTGGGCTGAATGGATACTAAGAGCTGTGTAATGACCAAGCACCAATAGTAATGACCCGAGAAGTGGGCTGCCAAACTCTTAAACCCCCTTAACCATGTGGGTTGTCCTCCTAACCACCTCACCAAGTGGTGGGTAGTAATTTGGCAAAGGCCTTAATGGAAGGATAATGTGTGGGTGAATACACAGGAAATATAAACCTGTTGCTTGGACACATGAAGGTGATCAGTGGATTATACAACCAAGTGTACAAAGCCATAAGAGCAGGTTATGGCCCTCGGTAGATGATGTGCGTGCCTTGTGTGACTGGTTGCTCTTCCTGTATGTGTTTGTGCAACACTGGCCTTGCCTTAGTCCAGATTTGATTTAGGCTTGGGGGATGATGTCTTGGCTAAGTTAGCCCCAGTGACATCAGACACGCTGACGATTATCTAGAACCATCAAAAAAAGAAAAAAACAAAACAGAGAGCCACATGATAAGCACCTATCAAGCATAACCCTTAGAATGTTAGAACTCCAAAGCATGAAGTCATACAGTTATGTTCATTCTACCAAACAACAAAAACAAAACTCTCCATCTCCTCTGCTACCAGAATCAGCAGCTAGAAAATCCATACAAAAAGAAAAAACCGGAAAAACCAAAAAAGATTAAACTCTACATGCTCCAATGACTACAACGCAGCAGTAGTAGAGATCACCTGTCCATTCCTCACTCTCACAAGGACTTATCGGAGAGTACTTCCACATTGTGAAGAAGAACAACACAAAGGTATTTATGAATGATGAACATGCAAAATTTCCACTAACGCATTCAACTTTTATTTTGATATTCAAGGACATTTATTGTTTTTAAATGTTCAGCTCTTTGATATTTTTCCAGTACTAAGAAGTATTGGATTTCCAAATGCTTAGACAGTTATACACTCATGTTTAGTGTCAGAAGCTTTTGCTACACATGACATTTAATAATAATAGTATGCTTGCTGAACAGTCAGAAGACAAAAATGACCAAGATCATGCAGCCACATGATGACACACGTCCCCACCCTCAAGAAAGAATCCAACAAATAGGCATGATATGGCAAATCAATAAGATTTAGGTCAACATTCAACTGAAACTATCATTTGCCACTGTATTTGCTCACATTGTACTTGGAGCAAATAGTCCACGAACATTTAGGAACAATAGCTAAAGAAAGTTGAGCTTTTAACTGAACCAGATTATAGATTATTGGAAATGAAATAATAAATAGAATCACAGCATCAAACAGCCATAATAAACTACCTCAACTTCTGTGTATGCACTTTTAAGCTTCAAGTTATGTTCGAGAAGAGTGCATTCTGCGTTTCCTGTTGCTGCTTCTATTTCTGTTGAGGTCCACAAAAATGGATCGTAAGGGACTGTGTCTGATTCCACAGGCCCAGGTTCTATGGAAAAGGGATCCTCCAATACTTGTACGCTCCCCAGATCCACATTTGATTGAAGAGAAGATGCTGTGTTAAGCTCCTGGAAATTGGAAGCTCCTCCTTTCATGGATAAAGAATCTGATCCTGAAAGCTCTAAAATAAACTCATCTGCAGATTCTGATTGTACCATCTCTTTGGACAACGATTCAAAGAGGTTCCCCTCAACTCTCGAGTCATGAATCCTGGCACCCTCAGTAATAGAAGAATCTGGTTCTGACAAAAGCTGCTGGTTTTCTTGATCACAAATTACTGGTGAATCCTGGTCAAGTCCATTTGTGAAAACAGATTTTGCAAATGGGAATTCTTCCTCTTCCACATGTGAATATGGGGTTTCCAGTTCACTGTTGGAACTCACAGACTCATTCATAGGTTTATTAATGTTACTACCAGACAGCTGGATTGATGCCTGGTCCACGATATCATCAGTTGAAGTACATGCATCTGAAATATATTTCCCAAATGAGGTTACTTGATGAGAAGGTGGAGGGCTGGTATCATCCTTCAGAATATTTGATTCTAACGAGCGATTCGTGTTTTCTTTGGCAAGAAAGATTCGACAGTCACCTGAAATGGATGTAATATTAGAGAGCCTACAGGGTCAAGCAAAATTAAAATCTAGAGCAAATTTTCATAGATCTAGTATTAATAAAATGGTGCTTCATTGAAGTTCAACTTTTCAAGTGAAGTATATAATATCCTCTCTTTTGTAAGGGTACCTTCTCTTTTCTTTCCTGAGGAACATGTATCTTACCTTCTCTAGAAAAGGAAGTTTGACCATCATTCAGATTTTGTATTTCATCGCATTTCTGAACATTTTTTAGCACTGTTGATGGTGCAATACTTCCCCTCACTTCAAATGATGGACATGAATTTCTCTGGGGCAGCTCATGGTTTTGAGAGGAGAGATCTGAGTCAACTGATATATCCTCTGAGATATTTATATGAGCATGAGAGTCCAATTCGTTTCCGCAAGACGATGCTTTTGTACAAGTTGGATACTTCGCCTGAATATCTACAGTTCCCACAATAAATGCATTGCCGCTGGTCTTCTCATTGTCATTTGGTGCTACTTCAAAGCGTTCAAAGGAACCTGGTTGACCTCTATTATCTTCATTATGTCCTTCAAACAAAACCTTTTCGCTTCTTCCCTCTGAACATGCATCTGACATTTTTTGATTCTCATTATGATCTTGCTTCCCAAGGCCTTCTTTGCCAGTTTTTCCTTGCACAGAAGAATCAATCCTTTCGAGGGGAAGAGAGTTGTCTCTTAAAGATGAATTTTCCAGACTACTTTTACATTCTACAAAGGGAAACCCCACCTTGATATTCACCGCCATTTCAGGAGTCTCTGAATATCCCTGAGAAAAATTAGGAAAGGGAGCTGGACTCCTGCAGAAAAATGAAGGAAATTAAATCTTCAAGTTCGTAAACAATTGAACCTAGATAAACACAATTTTCTTGCCTGGAGCTGAAATTGGGTGCAGAACCACGGTTAAAATTGGGCATTGGATCATAGAGACGAGCTGAAAACTGTCCCGAAACCTGATTCTTTGCCAGTCCAGATAAACTTAACTGCAGAGGTAAATATTATGAGAATACAGTTATCCCATTGAAAATGAAAACCATATATAAATTCTCAGATTGATTACATACCTTCTGCTCAGATATGAATTTGTACAGTGGACTCTGAAAGAAGACAAATGAAGTTAAGAAACAAGGCAAGTAATGAAAAGAACAGTATCCAGTATCAAACCTAAGGGGCCTACTACCAACAGAATTAAGCATATGCCACTGTTTCAGAATGAGGCCTCTTAAGCAAACAGTATCTAAAAGGAAAAAACAAAAGCTCATTATTGCCTTAGGGGTGCAGTTGAAATCTCCACAGATAATAACCGGAGCATCATCCCAAAGGTTTGAAACCTCTTGTGCGCGATTCAGCAGCACTCTAACCTGTTAGAACAGATTTAACTTTAGTTGTTAAAATGAAGTGATGCCTATCACAAAATCAATGATAGAGAGATAGAGGAAATTCTAAAACCAAAAAAGCATTGCAAGCAACAGCAGGTCAAGCACTATTAATTCAGGCACACAACTACCTTAAAACAAGGATGGCATTTTGGATGTGCGGGAAAACTCCGCAAGACTTACACAAGTTACTGGGACTCGAAGGAAGCTGAGTTCAGAACCAAACACATGGGAACAAGCCAAGTTCGGCCAGTTCCCAATGTTTTATTATTTCTTATTCCCAATGTTTTATTATTTCTTAGCTTGGCTTCGACAAAGCCTCTATAGACTCAGCCAAATCCGTTAGCCCTGACTCGAGCTTGGGCCCCTAGCAAGTCCTACACCATGTCCACGTTTTCCGACACTGGTTTCGCATCTATATATTGCAGATTATCTAAATGGAAAAGTTCATTTGCCTAACACTATACGCAATGATGCGACTTTTTACATACTACATTGCAAGAAATAAAAAACATAAGAAATGAGAAGACAAAAGGAAATCAGATGGCACCACATGACAAAGACCATTGCAACACAGTGCCTAATGAGAACCAAGGTCTTCATTAAGCCACCAAATCCAAGGTTGCTTCTCCAAAACGGCATATATTTTAACAAGGAATCCAAGGCTCCATTTGGGAGCATGGAATTTAAGACGTACCATTAATTTCCTCTTACACACATTGAAGAATGACAGGCTTGTCAGCCTTTTTTTTCTTTTGAGAACAGTTATAGTCTTGCAAGCTCGAAACACCACTATTCATGTGGGAGGGTACTTTGTAGAACACCTGCTTGTTGCTAAAATGCTAATGAAATGCACATCACCAAAAGGGGCCAAAAAAAAAAAAGAAGAATTATTCCATTATCCTAGTGCTTTAAAAAGGCGCCAATCCGAAATGGAAATTGCCGATCGGGAATTGCCAGTGACCAAAACGATTCTTGGTTGGTATCGGCGATTCATCAATCTCAATACAATATATTGTTTAGTTTTTATAACGCAAAAGTGGGCCGAATTAGTATCCCGTGCAGGTCTCTAAGAGGAGTAGGAGGCTCGAATTCTCACAGCACCCCCTTTTATTTTAAACTAGCGCTTGTTTTGCATCTCCAAAGCCACATACCTAAGTTTAAACCACCTAACCAAGCTTTCTTAAGCATAAAAAAAGGAATTTTCTTTTTTTGGATAAAGTTGACTATTTATATTGATAGAATATAGAGGATACAATATCGTGAGCAAGAACAAAATTTGGCCTTCCCCAGAACTGGGTGGCCTATACAAACCCTTAAGAGGGCCAGGAAATTAACCACAAAACAGAAATCCTAAGCTAGACTGTAGGCCCCAATGAGGGGGGAGGTTGGCTCCCTCCCTAACTAGAGCATCCGCCTCTGTGTTAGATTCTCTGAGGGTATAACCAGGAGATATTGATAGAGGAGCAAATGTGGTGAACCTCTGCAAAGATATTGTTTAGTCTCCACGGGTACAGGGCAGAGCCTGAGGCCCAAGCAATGGTGTTACTAGAGTTCCCTTCAACCAGCACTTGAGAGTGCCAGTGACCAAACCGATTCTTGGTTGGTATCGGCGATTCATCAATCTCAATATAATATATTGTTTAGTTTTTATAACGCAAAGGTGGGCCGAATTAGTATCCCGTGTAGGTCTCTAAGAGGAGTAGGACGCTCGAATTCTCACAGCACCCCCTTTTATTTTAAACTAGCGCTTGTTTTTCATCTCCAAAGCCACATACCTAAGCTTAAACCACCTATCCAAGCTTTCTTAAGCATAAAAAAAGGAAATTTTTTTTTTTGGATAAAGTTGACTACTTATATTGATAGAATATAGAGGATACAATATCGTGAGCAAGAACAAAATTTAGCCTTCCCCAGAACTGGGTGGCCAATACAAACCCTTAAGAGGGCCAGGAAATTAACCACAAAACAGAAATCCTAAGCTAGACTGTAGGCCCCAATGAGGGGTGGAGGCTGGCTCCCTCCCTAGCTAGAGCATCCGCCTCTGTGTTAGATTCTCTGAGGGTATAACCAGGAGACATTGATAGAGGAGCAAATGTGGTGAACCTCTCCAAAGATATTGTTTAGTCTCCACGGGTACAGGGCAGAGCCTGAGGCCCAAGCAATGTTGTTACTAGAGTTCCCTTCAACCAACACTTGAGAGTTCCAGTTGGGGTCGTATTTCTAGAGGCCCTCAAGCAAGGCCCTGGCCTCGGCATAAAAAAAGGATGTTAGAGCTAAGAATCAAACCTAGACATGTTTGGCAAGGCACCAGGCATCCTAGCCACTAACGTTGCTGTAATATATGCACATAAATCATATAATATACATTATATTCAATACTCATAAATCATATAATATACATTATATTCAATATTTATAAATCATATAATATACATTATATTCAAAAGGGCATTAGCAAAAAACAAGCACGTCATAAAACTTGGCAATATAATAAAAATAATCAGAACTTAGTAGAATATGAAAATGCTAAGAAAAACGATAAGAAAAACACTAAGAAAATAATAAGGTTAAACTTAAGGCATCTTGTAATCTATACAATAAACTGGGAACAAGAGAAAGTGAAAAAGATGTCTTCAAACTAACAAAAATGAGAAAGAAGAAGTGTAGGGATCTAAACCATAATAGATGCATTAAGAGTGAGGATCAGAAGGTCTTGTGGAAGATGATGAGGTCAACACAAGGTGGAGAGTTTATTTTAAAAAATTGTTAAATGACGAACACAATGGAAACATAGGGCTAGGAGGAATCTTTGGCAAAAAATAAGTGCAGAAGTCAAAGATACATGCGCAGGATTAGGATATCTGAAGAGAAAGACACTTTGAGGAGTAGATGGTATCTCGATAGATGTTTGAAAGTGCATGGGGGAGTTGGAAGTTCACGGGAGAGATTAGCATATGTTGGCTGACTACGTAGTTCATTAAGGTATCAAGAACAAAAAATTGCCAGAAGAATAAAGGAAAAAACAAAGGAGACATACAGAATTGTGCGAACTATCAAGGGATCAAACTTATGAGCCACACTATAAAGTTGTGGGAAAGAGTGATTGAGCAACCACTAAAGCATAAAATGAGTGTAATAGAAAATCAATTCGCTTTTATGCCAGCGAGGTCAACAATTGAGGCCATTTTCTTACTTAGACATCTATTGAGAAGTTCAAGGAGAAGGGAAAAGACCTCCATATAATCTTTAATTTGGTGGATGTTGGAAAAGAATGGAGTCCCTGGATGCTATATTGACATGGTGAGAGATATGTACAAGGGAGCGGTAACTAGTATGTAGAAAACTAGTAGAGAGACAAGTGTGTTTTTTGTGACAATAGACCTACATCAAGGGCCAGCATTGAGCCCATATCTCTATGATTTAGTTACAAACGAGTTAACTAGGCACCTATAAAATGAGGTACCGTAGTGTATGTTCTTTGCGCTTGACATACTTTTGATTGATGAGATTCGAAGCAGTGACAACGCAAAGTTAGACCTTTAGACGGATGCTCTAGAATATAAAGGTTTTAACGAATGCTCAATAAAACAGATTCGAGCGCCTAGGCAGTTTGGGTACCTGGCCGCCTAGGCGGGCGCCCAGGGACTGGGTGCCCTCACCAAAATCAAACCCCCCCTCCACCCCAAACATAAAAAATAGGGGAGTTCTTAGGGCATGGTTTATACCCTTTGGGAGTTTTTAGGGCAATTTTAGAGCCCCAAACTCCTCGTGATCATGAAATAGACGAAAACATAATAGTACAACAATACAATACTACAATGAGTACAAGCACATAACATATTTACTGATGAGACAATCAAACAAGTCTCAAAGAGATTGTAACTTGTAAGTTGTAAGCATTAAAATGCTTGAAATCCCGAATGTCATTGTACGAAACTAGAAGCCCATACTAGAAACGAATCAACTCTACAGTCATACACAAGTCAACAAGGCAAAATCAAAAAAAAAATACATCAAGTCATCATTCATCAACCAAACAACTCTATGGCATCAGCAGCGTCACCGCTCATGGTGTTCAATAGGATCATAAGACTTAACCCATTAAGATATCATATAATTAATTATTTATCAAATAAACTAAAACAAAAAACAATTGAATATCAAAATAAGATACATTGTACAAAAAAGGAATCAATTATTCATAAAAGAATACAATATATGCTCAATTTAATCGTCCAAGTGCGAAAAGAATCAATCTTTTAACTACAAACATGTAAATATATCGTAAAAGAAAAAAAACGTAAAAGAAAAAACGCATGATACATAACATAATATGTTGTAGCAAAATAAAATCAAAACCCTCTTTTAAATATGATAATACTTGAAATATGTCAAAATCAAATTGATGTCGGTACAAACCTCGTCTACTGGGTCGCCAAAAGTTCTCAAAATCAACTATTAGAAGCTCCAAATCCACCCACGAACTATTGCCTTTGTTTTTGGAAGAAATCAAAAAAATAAAAAATTTATCTATCTTTCAATAAATGACAAATGAGTGATTTTTGAGGGATTTTTCTCACCCTAAAGGCGACGGATTTTCTATTGGGGGTTTAAAATACCCCATAAAACCCTTTTCCCCCCTTTTTAGGGCGAAAAATTACATATTTTACCCTCACCTGAGGGTTTTTTTGTACTACCCACAAGTTGTCATGAAGCGATGCCTAGGCGGGTGCCCAGACATTAGCGCCTAGGCGGTGCCTAGAAGCAAAACGCATAATGCACATGCCCAGATTGCGCCTATGAGTTTTTAAAAAGTTTTCGCCTAAGTGGCAGCCTAGGCGGTTGGGCAACCGAATTTTCAAACATTGGTTTTAACAAGTGCATTTTCGGTGACAATAGCCTTTTATCAACGGTCAACATTGAGTCTATATCTCTTTGTTTTAGTTATGGACGAGTCAACTAGAAACCTATAAGGCGAGGTACCGTGGTGTATGTTCTTTGTGGATCACATGCTTTTAATCGATGAGATTAGAAGTAGTGACAACACAAAGTTAGAACTTTTGAGGGATGTTCTAGAATCTAAAAGTTTTAAAATTAGTCAAACTAAAACAGAATATATGGAATGCAAGATTAGTAATAATAGGAGTAGAAACAACGAAGTAGTTCAGACTGATGATCACGAAATACCTAAAAAAAAAAAATTTTGTTACCTTAGATCGATAATCTAAGAAAATAGAGAGATTCAGGAAGATGTCGCACATAGAACTAAAGTTAGGTGGGCGAGGTGGACATGTGCATTCAGAGTTTTATGTGATCGCGCATATACCAATGAAGCAGAAGGAAAAGTTCTCTAGGATAACTGTGATACCAGCTTTGCCTTATGGGACGAAATGTTGGGCGGTCAGAAACAACATACTTATAGGATGAGTGTCGTTGAGATGAGGAAGTTAAGATGGATGAGTGGCAAGACAAGAAAGGATAGAATTCGAAATGAATACATTCGAGGGAACTCAGGTGTGGCATCAATAAGCAATTAGATGAGGAAAAGTAGACATAAGTGGGCAGGCCATGTACACCGTCAACTCAATACAACACTAGTTCGAATATGTGATTTAGTTCAAGTGGAAGGCTCTAAAAGGGCAAGGGAAAGGCCCAAAAGGACATGGATGGAAGTTTTGAGAAAAGATATGGGAACTTATGGTCTTACTGAGGGTATGACCCTTGATAGAGCACAATGACAGCACATGATTCATGTAGCCAACCCCAAATAGTTGGAATTAGGCTCTGATGATGACGATAATTTCAGTATCTTATTATATTTTTTCTTTTTTGACTGGATTGCCGATCCATCCGATCCAGATCTGAATCGATGGGTGCATGATTCACTTCACTGATTCGTTTTTTAGAACATTCCTTTATTCTCGAGGAAGAGGAACTTCAAATATATGAATATGAACACTTAGGTCTAAATCTTTTCAGGATTTTCCCTAAAAGTAACTAGGATAATTTCTTTGATATAATCGCTAAGTTATGAAAATGAAGACTATGATAATGAGAAGAACTAATACACATAATATACTAGCACTAGACTCTGGCCACCAAAACTCATCTCCAGGAACCTTGCAGTGGATATGTGTTCCACTACCAAAAATCCACAATGCTTGCCAAATGATAGCTAATGCAAACTTGTCACTTAGCCTGCTTCTTGTATTTTTTTTTTTTTTTTTTTTTCACGTTAACACTTATCATGTTCCTGCTTTTCCCCCACAAATGTTCCATGGAAAATCCTAGCAGACAAACGTTTAAGATAGAGAAACACAATCGACTTAGGTATCACGTCAAAAAAATAACCTCTGATGGGGAGTAGTTCACATGGGCCTAGATATGTGCTCGACATGCATAGACCCAATGAAAAGACACCAGCTTGGAACGATTGACATTTTGATTATCACTAAATAGCAGGTCATGGAAACATTTTTTGGCTCTTGACGAACCCTACAAAGCCACAAAAGACATATCACCAATGGCGGCTCCAACTACCTAGGGTCTAAGAAACTTGAAAGGGCGACTAGCCCCTATTCATAATCCTAGCACCATGACTTTGATTTGATTTGTGATGATTCAATCCAGTATGAGGATAAAATAAGAATGACTCCAACTATATGAGTTTGGTAGTCACCAGTAACACAATTGACTAAGTAAACTATTTGTTTTCTACAACAATCAATAAAAAAAGGCCTATTCTTAAAGAGCAGAATTTCCCTTACAATGGCCTTCAGTCTGAAAATAACATAAAAATGTTTCTTTGCAGAAATTTGCACCAAGAATTGGAAGGTGAGAGGCCTAAATTGTTTAGAAGCCCCCAAATAGGATGGGTAAAGATGAAAGTGAATTCATCACATGTGTAGAATGATTTTGTTAAAGGAATTTGCATGCGGTAATTCAAGCTGCGAGCATGGTTTTAATCTACTATGTGGGGTGGAGAAGAAGGGAAACAGTTTTCTTTTTCTCTTTTTTTTTTTTTGTTTTTTTTTTTGGGGTTGGCGGACAAAGAAGGGAAACAGTTCAAGCTCTCAATATCTCGAAAATACTGCCACAGGTTGGGTTACAGAATATTACCACCTTTCAAAGCATATCCGTCAACTCCCACAGAAAAAGAAACACTTATAACGGATACACATAGATGGTGAAATCAGAGTTTCAATACAGAAGTAATATTCACTTAGTAAACTAGCAATATCCCCAAGCCTATACACAGTTGCATTAGGGTCATATTAACAAAAGCAAGATCATGAACTAAACATTCTAAGCACTAATTTCTTTCCGTTGGTAGACATCCAAATATTCATTGCTCCGAAACCGACACAATATTGTTCTTACCTTGAAAAATAAACTGAAACCATCCTGCTAGAAACAAGAACAAGATACAAGGTGTAAATTAATGAAGCGTACAAAAGCATGTGGGAGTTGGAGAAGGGCAAGAAAGCAAGCATTCAGAATAATACAAATCAATGGTATAGAGAGCTTCATGATGTGAATGTTCATTTATCATATCTGTCAGAATTCTAGCTGCCAAATTTTGCCTCCAAAATTTACTTTCATCATGTTTGGATGGCAAAGAATTTTTAATCCTTCAAATACAAGGAAAAAGTCATATAGCAACGCAACTTGAATATGTTTAAAGCTTTTACACACTGCAAGACAAGATACTACAAGAAGGATTGCCAACGAACGACACAAATATTTGATGTATAACTGCATTAGAGAGTTGCCATTAAAACGGTATTTTTCATCATCAAGATCCAATAAGAAACAAGTCACAATGCACACCTGAAGACTAGTATAACTTCATGAAAATAATTTCTGGGTTGCATTCCAATGAGGGGCAGCACGAAATATGGGTGCACTATGCTTATTCAAATCAAAAGTTAAACTGGATGCACTATGCTTATTCAAATCAAAAGTTAAACTAAACTAGATATGTAAAAGATTACTCAAGGAAACGCCTACATTGTTCGTCTACTACTTGGAGAATAACCTGTCCAAGTTTGATATCTCCTCTATTTGGATTGTAAAGCACATGAATGTTACAAACCACAACTTTGTTTGCTCCTTTTGGTTTTGATAAACTGCATGAAACACATTTTTGAGATTATAAACCATGCATAACATAATGTCCATAGAGAAACTTAAAAGACAGAAACTCTGTTGTCCTCATATTTAACAGAAATTATTGCAGCAACCAGTAATCTCTATGAAATTTGAACAAATGTAAAATACGATTCATTCACAAGTTTGAAAAACATATAAATAGACAAACTATAACTATGATAACTTCTAAAAATCAATCTCAGTTCATGGGGAGCTAAGGATGATGCATTTTAATGCTCCTCTATTTCAAAGATATTAGTGCCAGATATGTAGCCCAGCAGTAAAACAGGACAAAACCTACCAAGTGTAAAACAATTTAAGAAAAGAAAATAGATAAGAAATCAAGAATGTTTCTTGGAAGGAGGATAACTAATCAAGAATACAAAATTGATTTTAAGAGGAACCAAGGATATGTACGTTATTACATCAAAGGTCGGCAGCAGGAACTTGCAACTCACTTCTACTTATCGTATAAGCATAATTTCTTCACGTGAAAGATAGAGGTCATCAGATGAATCATATATCATAGGTCTACCTATGGGTATAGTATCCTTGCATGCATATATTCATAGACATTTTAAGAATTGATCCCATTTTATATTCCCAAAGGTAAAAATGAGAGAAATATCACACTCAATTCTGTTAACTTTGTTACATTAACTTCAAGATCTGCTTCAGTTTGGCTGGAGAAGAGAAGTGCTTTTCATATTTAGATTTTGATCGTCTTATTAAAAGATATCTCAAAAATATTAAAATAAACACAATAGAAAATAAAAAAATATAAATCTTAAAAATATAAAAATATAAAAATATAAAAATATAAAAATATAAAAATATAAAAATATAAAAATATAAAAATATAAAAATATAAAAATATAAAAATATAAAATATGGAATATTTTCAAAATAACATTACATTTATTTTCTCTTTTCCTTTTTTTCTCACTTTTTTGGCTTTAGTGTTTAGGTGTATTATTGGAGAGAAACTAGTAAATAAATTTAGCATAAGATGTGTGGCACGAAATATGTTAGTTACTGTAGAGATTAACATCTTATCCAAGAGGAAGATTAACATATTCCCATATTCAAGAATATACTAAATCAACACATATGCTTTTGTCGAAAAAAGATCAGTTTTGTTAAGATTAACATAAATTACTTTGGTAAAAAGATTAACATAACCCCAGTAGTTCTCCAAAATCTCTAAACCTTGTGAAACTTAACCCCGTTAGAGTATCAACAAATTAGAAGAGTGGATGGGAAAATTAATAAAATACCAAGTGAATTGAAGTATGCTTTGCTTTTTCTAAGGATAGGCTTCAAATTGGAGTCATAATCCTTTGGCCAAATCGCGTTAGTAAGATATCAGTGGTAATTTTTCTTATGCTGGGAGAAGACAAGGAGGGAGGCACACTAGACTTTTGGTGTGAAAAGAACTGGACAATAAAGAATATATTCAAACAACTCGTGTTACATTGGGGCCACGACTTTAAAAAACTGCCCCTGTACAAATACATATTCCCAAATATTACATAAAACAAGAAGAATATACATAAAGCAAACCTTCTAACTTAAAACAAACCGTCAATACTTCTAACACTCCCCCTCCAGTTGTTTAAACAAGTACAACTTGCTTCTTAGTTAATCAAGCCTCTCCCTTGATAAACCTTTTGTGAATATATCCGCAATTTGATTTTCTATACTAATGAATTTGCTTCAACCTCTTCAACAGTTATCTTTTCTCGGATAAATGCTATTCAATCTCAATGCGTTTTGTCGTATCTTGAAACATTTGGTTTGCAGCAATCGCTAAAGCACTTTTATTGTCGTAGTAGATAGAAGACCTACCAAACTTATAACCCAACCAAGATATGAGACTACGAACCATGTATCTCTACCACTGTTCTAGCAAGAGCCTTGTATTTTTCTTTAGTGCTTGATCTTGCAACCATTTTCTATTTTCTACTCCTTCAAGATATTAAAGTATGTACCAAAAAACACAATAACCCGAAACTGATTTTCTAGAAGATTTCCTGTCCAATATGCATCTAAATATCCATTTACAGACCCCAAATCCAAACTCACTTGTTTATTTTTCTTATACAACCCCTGCTGATGGAACCTTTTACATACCCATAATCTTTTTCAATGCCTCCATGTGTATGGTAGTTGGTGCATGCATGTATTGACATACCTGATTAATACTGTAACGCCCTTGCCATACTTCTGTATTTTTCTGGATCTAACAATGGGTAAGCACATAATCCTCTATTTAACGCTATTGGACTATGACAAGGTTTACAACTCCACATATTGGGCTTTTCTAGCATATCTAAAGCACATTTATGTTATGAAAAACGAATTTCACTATAAGAACAATCCACTTCAATTTTAATGCTACTGGAGTACGACAAGGTTTACACCTCAACATATTGGGCTTTTCTAGAATATCTAAAGCATATTCATATTTGTGCTATCAAAGGCGAATCTCACTACAAGAACCACTTCAATTTCTAGGAAATACCTCAATTCCCTTAGGTCCTTCATTTGAAACCTTTCATTAAGGAACTCCTTTACTTCATTTATTATCCTCATATTGCTTCATGAAACAATAATGTCATCCACATATAACAAAATAACAGCAATGCTTCTCACCTTTCAAAAAGAATAGAGAATTATCATTGGTTGATCGAATAAAAGCTCTCCCTTTTACTGCATCATAAAAACTGTGGAACCAGGTTCAGGGTGACTGCTTCAAGTCATATAGGGATCTATTTAATTTACAAACATATTCAAATGGGTTTGCTTCATTGAACCAAGGTCGTTGTTCCATATATACTTCTTCCTTAATCCTCCGTATAAGAAATCATAGTTAACATCCAATACATAAAGTGGCCAATCATGCATGAGGGCAAGAGATATAACAAATCTTACGGCAACAATTTTAACAACTAGACTAAAACGTTCATCATAATCCAAGCCATGTTGTTGGTTAAATCCTATTGCTACAAGTCTTGCTTAAACCTTTCCACGCTCCCATCAGGTTTATATTTCACTTTGTATACCAATTTACAACTCACAACATTCTTGTCTCTTGGCCTTCATACAATGCACCAAGTATGGTTAACATGCATGGCTTGTATTTCTTCAGCCAGGGCTCTAATCCACCTCTCATTGCTTCTAACTTCAAAGAAATTTCTAGGTTTTTTTATCTTTGTCATTTCACACATAACAAAGGAGACATCAATACAAAGTTAAAACTTTGGAGAGATGCCTTGGAATCCAAAGGTTTTAAAATTAGCCGGACTAAGACAGAGTATATAGAATGCAAGTTTAGTAATAATAGGAGTAGAGATGAGGAAGTAGTTAAGATTGACAGCCAAAAAGTACAAAAAAAACCGCACTTGCGATATCTTGGATCGATAAAACAGGAAAATGGAGAGATTGAGGAAGATGTCGCAAAAAGAATTAAAGTTGGGTGGGCGAAGTAGAGATGTGCAACCAAAATTTTATGTGATCATCGCATACCAATGAAGCTGAAGGGCAAGTTATATAGGACAACTGTGATACCAGCTTTGCTCCATGGGGCGGAATGTTGGGCAGACAAAAAACAATATACCCATAAAATGAGTGTAGCAAAGATGAGGATGTTGAGATGGATGAGTGGCAATACAAGAAGAGATAGAATTTGAAATGAATCCATTCGGGAGAATGTAGGTGTGGCACCAATAGGCGACAAAATGAGAGAGAGTAGACTTAGGTGGCTGGCCATGTGTGGCACCGACCAAGTACAGCACCTGCTAGGAGGTGCGAATTAGTTCAACTGAAAGGACTGAAAAGGACAAAAGATAGGCCCAAAAGGACGTGGTTGAAAGTAGCCTAAAAAGACATGGGGACTTATGGCCTCAGTGAGGCTATGGCCTTTAATAGAGCAGAATGGCGGACCAGGATTTGTGTAGCCAACCCCAATTAATTGGGAAAAGGCTATAATGATGATGATGATGATTTCACAGATAAACACCTGAAAATTATGTGTGAAACATCCTTAGCAGAGCAGCTGAGTCATCTTTCAATAGGCCGTTTCACTCTTGATCTTATCAAACTAACTTTATTTTGCTGCTCATTCTTGTGCAGTCCTCTATCTTAAGGTTGTTGGAAATTTAGTAAACTTTGCTGTAAGTTATGAGGTTGTTGTCCAATCTTTGACCTTTTTGATATACAATTATATATTTGCAGACTTGTTTATTTTGCACTTCTTCATTGGTATCAAAGACATGCTAAAAATCTTCTCTTGTATCACACAGAGCCTCTTCATGGATACTTTCGTCAATCTGGCTATCACCTTCTAGTTTGTTTCAGTCACGTCTCCATCTGCCCCTTTTATTTCAACGCCATCTCCAATATAATCAGAATCATTTCTCTTCTTTGCTATTTTTCTGCAGAGTTTTTGAAGTTTTCCGACTATCATAAGCTGGTGATGGACTCAGTCATCTAGAATTTTATTTCCTAACCTGCATCACATGCAAACATTTGCTCTGGAGGACACTATAAGCGCCTTTCATCAATTCATCAAACAGAACATGCCTAGAAATTAACATCCTTTTCAATCTAGGATTGTAACATCTATACCTTTTATACTCATCAGCATAGCCAACAAATATGTACACTTCAACCTTTGGGGAGAGCTTATTTCTTTAGCTGCTATCTATATGCACATATGCATAGCATCAAAAGGACTTCAACAAAGAATAATCTGGATGTTTCAAAAATACTCGATAGGGCCTGATCCCATTAAGAGCACTTGATGGCAGCCAATTATTAAGGTCTACAGCAGTATGGAATGCCTCAGTCTACAAGTACTTGGGCACAACACTAGAAAAAATAAGAGAACACTACCTCATTAATATGCTGATTCTTTCTCTCAGCAACTCCGTTTTGGGCTGGAATATGGAACAAGACCCTGTTGTTCTATCCCATGTTACTTTAAGTAGCTTTTGAAAGCCTGAGACGAATACTCTCCCCCTCCATCAATATGAAAAAATAAAATTGGTTTATCATAATGTTTTTTGATAAATGAGTTAAACCTCATGAACACCCCGAATGCATCATATTTGTCTTTGAGAAAAAACACCTAGGTATAACACCCATGTGTGTTTGAGAAAAAACCCTCATAAATGTAAATAATAATAAGAAGAAGAAGAACAACAAACAGGTGCAGGAATCCATGCATCAGAATGAATTAACTCAAACGGTGAAGTCCTTTTATTACTTAAAGATAAGGTAAGTTCAGAACTTTTGGCCAACTAACATGCATAATAAATAAACCGACTAAGATCTTTAACACTGACGGTACAACACAATCATTACAAAGTTTATTGAGTTACTCCTTATTACAATGACCTGGCCGATGATGCCATAAATTGGCATCTGTATTAACATTTAGACTCAAGACCAGCATCAGATGCTTCTTTGCCGATGAGTTCCCCTAACGAACATGATTCCAGATTGTTTCTTGAAAAACAAATTTATTGCGTAAATAAACAGTAAATCCCATTATCACATGCTAGATGGGAAACCAAAATCAAATTATGTTCAAGATTTGGAACAAGAAAAAGTAAATAGGATCAAAAGAAGACTCAACTGTGACATGACCTACATGTGTGATGTCGAGGGAGGATCCATCACTAATTATAATAGAACCACTACCAGTAAAAGGAACAAAGGAAGAAAACTCACCACAATTTCCATACACATGGTTGGCAGCCACACTATCCACAATCAGTGCTCCATCAGTAGGAGTAATGCAAGACATTCCATAGAATTATTTAATGCTGCAGTTGAACTCTTAGTGTTGGCCAAGGTAGTAATTTGATTTCCTCCTTGATTACTTTCATTGTCATTCTTGTATCGATCAAAACAATTTTACGGGTTGATGTCCTCTTCCACATATTTGACAGATGACTCTATTCCCATTTCCATTAGGAGTAGGCAAGAGACCTCGACCAGTATCATAGAAGCTTCTGCCACCATGAATATTTCTATCACCTTGACACCCACGACCTCTGTTATTTCCCCAAAATTATTGGAATTTTGTGCAGTATTTCTCTTGTTAGTAAGAAGAAGATGGTGGTCCTCATTTCTGGGAGACAAGTTAAGTGCCTCTTTTCGAAACAAGAATGCCTGATGTTGTAGCATCATGGGTCGAAAGTTGGCAGAGGAAGGTATAATCCCTTGTCATCAAAGAAGCGACGGAAGTTCTATAGTCTTTACCCAGAAGTTGTAGTACATATTGCACCTTGTCTTTATCTTCAACTGGTTGTGCAGTATTTCTCTTGTTAGTAAGAAGAAGATGGTGGTCCTCATTTCTGGGAGACAAGTTATGTGCCTCTTTTGAAACAACAATGCCTGATGTTGTAGCAACATGGGTCGAAAGTTGGCAGAGGAAGGTATAATCCCTTGTCATCAAAGAAGCGACGGAAGTTCTATAGTCTTTACCCAGAAGTTGTAGTACATATTGCACCTTGTCTTTATCTTCAACTGGTTGTGCAGTATTTCTCTTGTTAGTAAGAAGAAGATGGTGGTCCTCATTTCTGGGAGACAAGTTATGTGCCTCTTTTTGAAACAACAATGCCTGATGTTGTAGCAACATGGGTCGAAAGTTGGCAGAGGAAGGTATAATCCCTTGTCATCAAAGAAGCGACGGAAGTTCTATAGTCTTTACCCAGAAGTTGTAGTACATATTGCACCTTGTCTTTATCTTCAACTGGTTGTTGAATAATTGCGAGTTGATCGCATATTCCCTTTTAGATTGTTATAAAATTCAGAAACTGACATCTTTCCCTTCATACAATCTTGAAGTTCAAATTTTAATTGCAAAACATGAGCCTCCGACTCCTGAGAGTAGGACTCATTGAGGGCTACCTAAATATTATATCCTCCAGGGAGATTCACCACTTAAGGCAACATTTCTTCAACCAAGGTTGAATTAATCCAGCCAACAAGATTTTGATATTTAGCAAGCCATTCTTCTTAAGTTGGATTGACCACTGCAGTGATCTCTTTCTTTTCATCTGAATTTCTGCTTTCTTGAACAACATATTCTAGTGGTGGCCTAGTGGATCCATTCAAATGGCTATAGAGACGTTGGCCTCAGATGAAGGGAAAAACAGCCCCTTTCCAGACAATAACATTATATCAGATTGAGTTTGACAGAAATATATTAAGGATTTGGGAATGAGAAGAACTAGAACTTGATGATTGTGCCATGGTAAGGAAAAATGGGCACGAATTGTAAACGCACCAGATATGGAAAAAGGAGAATAATAGGTCTATAGAGGATGAAAGACTAGAGATAAACTAAAAGAGAGTATAAAAATGGGTTGGCATGGAGAGCAAGAAATAAAGTAAGAACTGTAGCATGAACAGTGATGCGAACAGTACAATGAAAAGGTTTGTGAACAGTGTACCATGAACAGTAGAATGAACAGTCGGTGCCCTTAATATGGAAGACATATGAGAAAGAGATAAGGGTTTAGGAAAGAAGAATGAGAATGATGAAAGAGGCTAAAGATTGAGGAAAGAAAGATTAAGGTTTAGAGGAGGAAGAGATTATGGATAGTGAAGAAGAAGGAAGTATCAGTTAACTTGATTAGAGTTGATCACCCTTAAGGGGGTATGCAAACCTGCTCTGATACCATTTTAATTTTTCTTACGCTGAGGGAAGACGACGACAGAGGCACGCTAGACTTTTGGTGTGAAAAGAACTGGGCAATAGAGGCACACCCAGGACAACAAAGAATAAATTCAGATATTTGGTGTTACATTTAGGCAATAACTTTACGAAAATGCCCTTGTATAAATATATATTCCTAGATTCAAGAATATGCATAAACAAAACCTTCCAATACTTAATAACAATCAGCAAGTAACCACTCAAAAGCAATTTTCAGATTCACAACCAAGAAATTTCTAAGAACATGCAATTTCTGAAATTTCAAAGAGTAGATCATGGAAGCGATGAATTTAAAAGTTACATCAGATTAACATCAAAAGAAAAACCATTCAGAAGATGCCATGAAATGGGTTACAGAAATCAAAAGGCACCTGGTAGATGGAGCTCTATTTCCCCCCTCAACACAATCTCTGCTTCTTGACTAGGCAACAGAAATATGGCAACCATATCAGACAAACTTAAGAAATGATTTAGCAGTGAGAAAACAGTTATCAAATTGTTGCAACTGATACACAAGAAATCACAAAGTACCTCCAAGACACAAATCTGAGCAACATTGTCTCGAAGGGAAAGCTTATTGAATTCAATGTACTCTTCATGCAGCAAATTGAATCTGAATGAACAATAGCAGAATAGTGAAATAGATGTAAGTATACAAAATGAGTGACACGGCGCATTTTGCCATAGAAAATAGAACGTAAGCTAAACTTTAAAAGGTACAGCTCAACTAAAATACTTAAGCAGAAAACCAGAAGCAATCACTATGTAGCTGACATTGAATTTATGTCATAATTAGAGAGGTAACATATTTTTCCTCAAAAAAAAGAAAAAGGAGTGGTAACAGTTTCAAATTACAGAAAGGAAACAAGTGAACTGCGGTGAAAAATTAATAACACTCGATTGAGAAGTTCTGTTTGCTGTTATGAAGGAATTAATAAGAAACTAAGAATAATTCCAAGAAAACATTTCTTTATAACTGATGATCATGGCATAGTCGATCCTACTTGATAAAAACAAAAATAAATGAACACAAGCAACAAGACTTCAGTTCATTCAAATATATAGTCACGTAAAACTTCGAAGCATGAGTTTTATTCCAATAACATATGCACCAGACATTCTGGCTCCAGTTACAAGTATTAACATACTCATTCACAAAACAAAATTACCTTCATAGCAAAAATGGCCATAAAGTAATTACACATAGCAAAAATGCTATAAAGTAATTAGATAAGTGGCTATCAACCTTGATCTCCAGGTAATGATTTATCAAAAACAACTTCATAAGCATTCACTAGCTATGATGCACTGATATGGCAGAGCACACCGCAACAACATCAGTCACATTATATGCATATGTAATTAAAGCCTTGGACACATAAAAAGGGCCCATTTGAAGTATCAATGCATCATAATTAATCAGAACCTACAGATTATGACAAATTGGACCATCTAAACACTATGATGTTACCTAAATGACAAATCCTTAGAAGGAAGAGAGAGAGAGAGAGATAGAGAGAGAGAGGAAGAGAGAATGACATGAGTCCAATTGGTCGCACACACCTCTCAAACCTCTTTTACATTAATCATATTAGAGAATTGTCAAAACTCCCCATACAAACTAGAAATAGGACATATCGGTCTAAATAAAAGAGAAATAAAAATAGAAAAAGACTTTTAACACTTCGCTCAAGCTGGAGCATAAATGCCACCCATGCCTAACTTGGAACAAGTTATGGCCAAAGGCTCTGCCAACTAATCCTTAGATTCAGATACAGAGCACACACGTGCTTAATAATAACCTCTTGAATAAAGTGACAGTCTACTTCAATATATTTACCTCTTCTCATAAAACATTGGATTCCTGCATCAGTGTCTTCAGTCACATCAATTCACATGTACCATCATCATTGTTCTATATTCAGCCTTTGCTCTAGATCTAGACACAACATTTCGTTTCTTACTTCTCCATGTAAATATATTCCCATCAGTATATGTAAAATAACCTGTCGTAGACCACCGGTCAAATGGAGGACCTGTTCAATTAGAATTTAAGTAACTTCAATAGTCAAATGATTGCTTGGCTTGCAAATCAGACCTATACCTAGAGCTCCCTTCAGATACCTCAAAATTCTATGAACAGCATCCCAGTAAACCGACTCACTATGCTTACTACCAAAGCAATAGGAGCCTCGTGATGGTCAAATAAATCAACATGCCTACCAGCCTTCCCTACCTTCCTGGATCCTCAAACAACTCCCTCTTATCAGCCAATAATTTTGTATTTGAATCCATAGAAGTATCAACTGGTTTAGGACCTAACGTTCTAGTCTCTATCAACTAATCAATTATGTACTTTTTTTAGACAAGCTAATGCCATGCTTTGATTCGACTATTTCAATACCTAGAAATACCTTAGCTAGCCCAATCCTTTCCCGAAACATAGGTTTTAGGTGCCTTTCCAAATGATTGATTCCTTCTTGATCATTTCTTCCAATGACAATATTGTTAACATATACAACAAAGACGATTATCCTGGAGTCCAGTTTCCATATAAACACTCAATGCACTGCATGGTTGTGTTAAAATCCATATGCCACAATAATTTCAGTAAATTTTGTAAACCATGCACATGGGGACTACTTCAGACCATAAATGGCTTTCTTCAATTTACCATACCTTATCTTACTCCCCCTGAACAACAAACCCAAGTGGTTGCTCCATATAAATCTCCTCTTGTAAATCCCCACGAAAGAAGGCATTCTTCACATCAAGCTACCCCAATGGCCAGTTCTTGTTTGTTACTACAAATACAACAACTCGAACTGAATTAGGTTTAGCAACGTGGGCAACAGTTTCAAAGTAATCAATGCCAAAGGTTTGAGTGTATCCTTTGGCGACCAACTTAGCTTCTAATCTCTTGATGATGACATCAGGCTGATATTTTTCTGCATAAACCAAGTGACACCCAAGAGTTTTTTTTCCAGCTAGTAAAAACTTCTCACAAATGACTTAAAGTTCCTTATATAGAACAACCCCCAAACAATGGCGAATTGCTAAAACCTAACCAAAATTGTCAAAAAATACACATTTCATAAATTCAAATATTGATCCCGTTTTAGATCAAATGACCAAAATACCCTTCAACACTTTTCAACAAATGACAAAGCCATCGCTCCATGAGGGGCCTCTTGTCATTGCTAGGCCTCAAGAGCTTCTTTGGACATTTACGGTGGTAATTCGAGCGATCAAACGTCGTAGAATCGATGCTTGAACTATTACGCACATTTCGATACCCTTTGATCATCTTGAAACGGATTTTTAATAAAGAACCCAAATCCGACCAAGTTCCATATACTTGTGATTTTTTGACCACCGATTTGGCACGATCCATGATGTTTACAGACTTCATTTTGATCATAAATTGAAGTGGATACTATCACGATCATTTTGCGATAAATTTCGTCCATTTTGGTCTCCGTTTGAGCTCATTCCAATTTTGGAGGTCGTCAAAAAATGGGATTCCGATGACCAAACCTCCTTGAGCTCCCAAGCACAATTCAAGTTGAGTGCATCCATTTCCTCTTACATTGCTTTCCTCCACCCAGTATGAGAAAGTGCATCTTGATAAGACTTGGAATAGAAATAAAAGAAAGAGCTAAAGCAAAACATTGATAGGATGCAGATAAGTTTGTAAAAATAATAAAATGAGCAACGGGATGTTGAGTACAAGACCTTATATCTTCACAGATGGCAATAGATACATTATCATCTCTAGACACAGAATGTGAGTTAGAAGTAGGAATTAGATCTGTACACAAAGATGATGAATGAGTGGTTGGCTGAGTAGATGGAGGTTGTCCATCATGCACTTTTCTTCTCGTGTAAATCTTTGGGATGCTCCTGAGGGACATTATGACAAGTAGATTAATAGGTTTAGTTGGTCCAGCAATCGAGGTGAAGAAAAAGTACCAAGAAGAATAGAAAGAGGAACTCTAGAAGATGAGGACTGTGAGAGTTCTTCAGGAGAAGGATAAACGAAATATTCATCAATCATAGGATCCTCTTCTGAAAAATAAGGAATATTTTCAAAATAGGTAACATAAACACAAATAAATTTCTTTATAAACCACGATGATAGCATCGATAACCTTCTTGAAAGTATGAATATCCTAGAAAAACATACTTTGAAACCTCGAGGATCTAACCGGTCATTACTAGTACCCAAGAAAAGAACAAAGCAAACACACCCAAACCATCATGGAAGAACAACAAAAGATGGAGGATCAAGGAAGAGAACAGAGTGTGACTTTTTTCTAGTCAAAATTGAAGATCGCATAAGACTAACTAAATAGCATGGGGGTAGCAAGACATCTCCCCTATAAACTTTTGGAACATACATGTCAACGGGTAGAGTATAGGTTACTTCAAGTTAATGTAGTTAACTGAATATGGGGTCAAAAGTGATTCAACCAGCCTAATTGGTAAACTGGACGGTTCAACCGACCTAACCGGGCAAGTCTGGGGCAGTAAAAAAAGTGTTAAAAAAACTTTAAAAAAACAAAAACAAAAAATCTATTGAAATATGAAAAATATATTTAAAGCATAATTAAACAAAGCACATCCGAAGGGCATTGCTGCTCGCGGTGAAAGGGCGAGTAGTGAACTGCAGACAGCGTTAGCCATGGTCCACGACAACGCGAGAAGGCAGCACGACCCTTCACATGCGGCGATAGGCACAGAGCGCACAAAAGATACTTGCGGACGGTGATAGTCATTGTCGCAACCCTTCACGGGCGGCTACAGGCATCGCCGTTTGCGATAGGCACAGGGCGCAAGAGAAGCCTGCGGACGGGGTTATGCGCCATCTATGACCCGTAAGAGGAAGAAAGATAGTCTGCGATCGACGACACACATCGTCGTGCGTGATGCCAATTCTAGAACCGAAACAGGAGCTTGACCTGCTGCTTGAGCGCGGCCCAGCTCACCGTGTGCTCCTTCAAACAGCGTTATGCACAACGACGACTAACGCTTTCTCTTTCTCTCTGTTCTTTCATGTATGGCAGAGCTTATCACCATCCATGTTCTTTCTCTTTCTCCCTTTGATGTCATGAACGACAAAGCCTACCGCTGTCCATGACTTCCTCTCATCTCTCTTTTTCCTGTCATGCACGGCAGTGCTCACAGCCACGCATGATTTTTCTCCTCTTCTCTTCTTTCTCTTTCCTCTTCTTCTCTCTTATCTTCTCTCTTCTCTTCTTTCTCTTTCCTCTTCTTCTCTCTCATCTTCCCTCTCTTCTGTTCCTTCTCTCTCTTCTCTCATCTTCCCGTTCTCTTCGTTCTTTTTCTTTTCTCTCTCTTCCTCCCTCCCTCTCTGTTTCCTCTCCCTTATCTCTCTCATCTCTCTCTTACCCCTCTCCTTTCCTTTCTTCTCATTCTTTTCTCACTCTTCTGTCCTTTCTCTCTTATCTTTCTTCTTCCCTTCTTTCTCATTCTTTTCTCACTCTTCTGTCCTGTCTCTCTTATCTCTCTTCTGTCTCTCTTATCTCTCCTCTTATTCCTTCTCTCTCTTCCCTCTCCCCCTTTCTCTGTCTCTTCTCTAACTCTTCCTCT